CCCGGTCCAGAAACGGCCGCAACTGGTGAATCAGGCGAACCTGATAAAACGCTCCCCTGGTCACGGCCGCCAACTGGTCATCCAGTGTCAGCCGCGAATCCAGGAGAACACCCAAGTTGCGGACCCGATCCGAGGGGGCCAAAGTTTCGCCCCCTATAGTCAGCGATGGAATCAGCTGGCTATGCCGAGGCGCTGGTAGTTTCTTACTATGCTTTCAGAAAACTGTTCTTGAAATCCTAATACTCACTTACTGATTTTTGCAAGCAAATCCTCATGCCTGGGAATTTTTCTGGTTGAATTTCTCAAGTCTAACAAACTTGGCTCTTTGGCTGAAAATAATCCAGCAAGCTGGAAACAAACAATGGCTTATATCCTTGTGAACTCTTGACAGTTTTCCAAGATCCCATCAAGCTTTCCTTGCAATCAGAAAGCTGATGGTCTTTTCTCCTGTATGTTTAATAAGAGTAGAATTGTGTGAAATACTGACCACAGTTTAGGCATCTGAATGGCTTCTGATCTGTGTGTAAACTGACATGATTTATTAGAGCTACTTGTGAAACTTTCCCCACAATAGGGACATTCAAAGGGTTTTTCTCCAGTGTGAGTTCCCTATTATTCCAGCAGGCGGGAATCCCAACTGAAACTTTCCCCACAATTCAGGCACTCATCCTGTGTGAATCCTCTGGTGTATCACCAGGCTGGAATACTGACTGAAACTTTTCTGACAATTTTGACACTCATAGGGTTTCTCTCCTGTGTGAGTCCTCTGGTGTTTCACAAAGTTAAAATTATGACTGAATCTTTTCCCACAAACTGGACACTCATATGGTTTCTCTCCTGTGTGAGTCCTCTGGTGCATCATTAGAGCAGAACTATGACTGAAACTTTTCCCACAACTCGGACACTCATAGGGTTTTTCTCCTGTGTGAGTCCTCAGGTGCATCACTAGGGCAGAATTAACACTGAAACCTTTCCCACAGTTTGGACACTCATGTGGTTTCTCTCCTGTGTGAGTCCTCTGGTGTACCACCAGGTTGGAATTTTGACTAAATCTTTTCCCACAAACTGGACACTCATACGGTTTCTCTCCTGTGAGACTCCTCTGGTGTATCACCAGCTTGGAATTCTGACCGAAACTTTTCCCACAATCTGGACACTCATATGGTTTCTCTCCTGTGTGAGTCCTCTGGTGTATCACCAGATTAGAATTGTTACTGAAACATTTCCCACAATCCAAACACTCATATGGTTTCTCTCCTGTGTGACTCCTCTGGTGTATCACCAGATTGGAATTGTTACTGAAACATTTCTCACAATTCCAACACTCATGTGGTTTCTCTCCTGTGTGAGTCTTCTGGTGTTTTACCAGGTTAGAATTCTGATGGAAACTTTTCCCACAATCCAGACACTCATATGGTTTTTCTCCTGTGTGCTTTCTCTGGTGTATCACCAGGCAAGAGTTCTGACTGAAACTTTCTCCACAGTGTAGACACTTATATGGTTTCTCTCCTGTGTGAGTCCTCTGGTGTTTCACAAGATTAGAATTATTACTGAAACTTTCCCCACACTCTGGACATGCATATGGTTTCTCCCCAGTGTGAGTTCTCCGGTGTATCACCAGAACGGAATTATGACCGAAACTTCTCCCACAATCTGGACACTCATATGGTTTCTCTCCTGTGTGAATCCTCTGGTGTATCATCAAGTCAGAATTCTTACTGAAACCTTTCCCACAATCCGGACACTCATATGGTTTCTCTCCTGTGTGAGTCCTCTGGTGTATCACCAGGGAAGAGTTCTGACTGAAACTTTTCTCACAATACAGACATTCATACGGTTTCTCTCCTGTGTGAGTCCTCTGGTGTATCACCAAGTCAGACTTTCGAGTGAAATTTTTCCCACAATCTGGACACTCATACGGTTTCTCCCCAGTATGAATCCTCTGGTGTATCACCAAGTAGGAATTCTGACTGAAACTTTTCCCGCACTTTGGACACTCAAATGGTTTCTCTCCAGTGTGTATCCTTTCGTGTAGCACCAGGTTGGCATGCTTACTAAATTTTCTGCCACATTGTGGGCACTGGTAGGGCTTTTCTCCAGTGTGGATCCTCTCATGCATAATGAGCTCTGGTATGCAATCTGTGTTTTTCCCACAATATGCACATCTGTGGAGCTTTTCCACCACTGATTGTTTTGGATTCTTGAGGAGATTAAAAAATATTTGTGATCCTTTCTTGGATAGTTCAAGCTGTTTCTTCACAGAGTGAGGTCTGCATTATTGTCTGGAATGAGCGGTTCCTCCTCACAGATGTCTAAATATTTCCTCTTTTTCTGAATCTGGAAATGTTCCATCTTTATTTTATCATATAATGTTTCCTTGAGTTCCACATACAATATTTGTTTTTCAGCTCAAAACTCTTCCTATTTTTTTCTCTCTATTCTCTCACTTGCTGGAGAAGAAGAGTTTCGTGGTTTTCTGGAGGAAAGGAAAAAGATATTGATTACCAGACGTAAAGAATTTGCCTTCTGATTCTCTGCTGTCCAGAATGCTCTTCTTGGCATTTTTCTTGGCATTCTCTTTGTCTATAAGATCCACATAAAAGGGATACTTTAATTATTCACTATAATATGGTTGCAAGATATGAAAGCAAGAGCAGACATTAGAATGAAAAAGCAAACATGCCAAAATGCTAGATTAACTATTAGAATTCATTATGACACATAGAAGACTAGTGAGATGCAAGTTCAAATATTCACAGCCATGAAATTCTCTTGTCTCCTGTAAATCACAATCAGTTAGCACTGCAAATTATTATAATCACATATACCTGGAAATACTGAGGATAGGAATACAAATAATAATAATAATAATAATAATAATAATAATAATAATAATAATAATAATAATAATAATAATAATAATAATAATAATAATAA